TATTTTTACAATAATTTAGAGATTTTTATGAATGGCCGAGATGCAGGAAGCTTAGAAAGAAGTTGCATTGAACATTTTATTACTATATTCGATTTAGGAAGATTTGATAAGGAAATATGGTATAACAATGTCCGTTTATGCATATAACATTTTCATTCGTACAATTCTTTTATATTCGATTCTACAAATTGTCTAAACTGTTACGGAAAGTTTGGCAAACGTTTTAGGAATATCTTACACACGTTACACTATACTATACATTCTTTGAGTAAACATTTCTTTATGTTCGAAACTTTATGCTTGACATGTTAAAACAAATCACGCTCGATAAGAAGCGAATATGCAAAAGATATGCAGTGTCCCAGAAAAATGACGATTTATTATAATTCTCAGAAGTAAAACTAATCGATAGGAAAGTAAGTACAGAAAGATATTAGATCAGTAAGGAGTACAAATCGTAGAACTACGGCCTCGTGTCGTTGGTTCATTCTTAATACGATACGTATGTCATGAAATGAAATATTACAGAAATTCTTCCTTCGTTGCACAGATTCCAATCGCATTGCGCGTAAAACACTATCTAGTCGTTTATTTACGAGACAGGCGAATCAGCAAGAGTGACGTATTACAAGCTTTATTTTTCTTAACACGTTTGATTGACCGTGTTAAACGAGAATGTGACTGCATGATTTTATTTGTACAATCGAACACCACGCATGATCTTTATTGCATTTTAGATCAGTCTGATGTTGTTGTCTCCTTGCAGCGTTTTCACACGCCGTTTATAATTCTTTTTTTTTTCTGTCTCCACTTTCCCGATTGATGCCGTTTTTTACGCTTGGTGCACGTACCCAAAAGAGAAAACCGAGAAGGAAAGAGCTCGTTTCTCACGTTTGATTTCATTCTAGATCACTATTTACCCTTTCTAGCTCTTCTGACAATAAGCAACTCAAGATAAAGCTAAAGTGTAGAGGGACCAACAAAAATCGTATTATTTTAGTCGCGTTAGGATTGTTAGGCGAATCGTCATGTAAGTAAGCCTTTATCTATGTACACGTACGTGTCCACACGAAATATCATTATGTACACCATGCAAAACGGCTGAACAGATCGGATCTAGCCGACGAATCATACATTCACCGCTTCAGAGCTCCGGTACGAGTCGTCCGCAGCTTGTCAATGCAGAAACGCATTTAGGATAGAACTTTTTTTCCCCTAATTCCCCCCCCCCCCTATCATGGCGAGACCGCTTCTTGATTTTTAGCATTTGAATCTCCTAAAGTTTAGAGCATAAACAGCGATGGAATAACTTGCTGACGGGTCGAACGATACCATTGACCCGGATCGCGTTCATCCAACGCACTTCAAACGGTATCGTGTGGCAAGTTTTCACTATCCGAATTAATGCTGGCTTTTTCTTCCGATAAAATCTTGTTAAAGTATTCCTGATTAATACATTCGTTACGATTCCAGTCCTTTCGAGGTTTCAAAAAGTTTGAGAAATAAACGATTATTACTATGGAATAAAATGGTTACAGTAATGGGATAGAGAGTAAATGGTAAAATATACATTTAGTAGAATTTATGTGTGAAAATTGATAATTTTATGTCGGTTTACTAGATTCAGATTTGGATATAGTATCTTTTTAACACTGAATGGGCTAAAAGGAAGACAAAAAAGTTGAATAAAGATACAAGGTGTTGATGAAAATTTGGTAAACTTTCGCAGATTGGAGGTTACATGTCGAATTAAGACGAAAATCAAGAATGATGAAATTGCGTTTGTGACTTTGTTTCTGAGTTGCTTGAATTGTTGAAAATACGAACGAAATATGCGTAAAATATGTCTGATGTGACTGATTATTCTACTTGAGAGGCACCTTCAACTGTTTCACGAGTTCATTTGCGATACCATTGTGCGAATAGTACAACCCATCGCACCAGATGTACTTCACGTATATTTTTCCCGTATTTTGAACAATTAATGCCTCAAAATTCTTGAGTTTTGTCTTAGTTTGGCATGTTAGAATCCACCTTGTGAAAGTGTCCAACATTTTTATCAACACTTTGTATATTAGACATACTAATACTGAAAAGCAATTATCGTTTTTAACGAACTAGTAATGCAATACAAATACAAAATGTTTTTCCAACTCTTTTGAGCCTGTATCAAGTTAGTAGAGAAGATATAAAAGGATATCTCAAAATTTGTAGGACAACCGCGTTTTAGGTAATTGTACGCGAAAATACAAAACGAATAAGTAGAATAAAAATTTTTTGTACGATCACTCATTATTAAGAAAATCGGATTTAAAAATTTTGTCGGGTACATGTGCTTATGAATAGAATTGGTCCTCGTTTCTGGCTATTGCTTGCTGTTTCTACTTGTAGTAAAGATAACGCTGTGATATTACTTACCTTCTATCGATTGAATCATATATTCTCCTACTAATATTATTATACATATAATTTATATCCATTTTGTGTAAAATATTGTTGTCATTATTTATAAACACTATGAGAAGTAAAAGTAGCTAGGAATTGCCGAACACGTGAGATACTTGTAAGTGGTACTTAAGTGCATGTGTGACCGACAAATTTTCAAATTTAATTTTCTAGAAAACCAATTTTCTACGAAAAAATTTATCTTCCGATTTATTTCACTTGCATAGACAATTAAGGTGCAGTTTCGATGCAAACAACCTCTCTGTCTATTCATATTTCTATTCTTCTCCTATATCATAGAGTTTCGGCATAAACTTCAGACGACACATTTTTATATTACAAAATTTTTAAGATATACATGATACTATTTTTGTTTTTGCTTTATAAATACTCCAGTGATCTCTAAATAAAAAAATGCAATTTATACGCCATTCTATTAGATGTCTCACACCGTTTTCTCTAACTGTAAGTTATTCCCATTTTTTTTTCAAAATTTGTTGTCGTAAGAAAAAGTCTCTTTAAGATAATAGTGTGAAAATTCTGAATGGACCCTGTGAAGATACTTGATAGCACAGCTCTTGTTGTCAAACTCTACAGGAAACATTTATTCACTTTTCACTCATATTAAAAATTTATTACTTAGTGTTCACTTTACAAAATAAAATCACCTTGAAAGGACGTGACTACATACCAGGTAATGGCGAACATCGCGATCTCTATATTCAAAATAACATGCAATCGTATTTATTTTTATTGGGAAGAAAAACGCCGGTGAAAGCCAGGCCTGTTAGAATGCACAAAATTCCTCTGTCTTCCCCGAGAAAAACTAATACTATCAAAGCCGCAGTAATACTTCTCAGCAAATACTTGACCGTTCGTCTAACAACACTAACTGATGTAGTTAGTACGCGCCCCTTTAAACTTGTTGCCACTATACACAGGGTGTTTCAATGAGCTACGGTCAAAACCAGAGACAGTTTTCCTCGGTCGAAAATTGTAAGTACGAAACTGTTTCTATGACGATAAAAAAAAACCCTCGAGCTGCTCGAGGAATTGTGTAACTCGTAAACACTTTGGTTTCCGTTCTAGACGTTGAGTCGATTGTCTGGAATGTTCATTAAACGATCCAGATTCTTTTAGAGAATCTTTTCTGAATTCGGACTAGTCGACGTTGTCTCGTCGTAAAAATTTTGTTTGATCTAGCCGTAACGTTCAGTAGCACTGTGTTCCTTTGTTTTCGTGACAATTCAACTGATTCCTTTTGTGTAGTTAGCGTTTTCTTTTCGACCGGACCTCGACTACAGATCCGAATTACTTAGACACTGTTTTACTTAGAGATTAGATTTCCGTTTCGAACGTCCTTACTTATTTTCCACCGAAGAACTCCCCTTTCTGTTTTCACCGTAGTCGATATACTATTCTGTTGTAATCGGAAAGTTTGAGTACTTACATTTACCTAATGACTAACTGCTAAAACGCTTTATTATTCAGTAGCTTTTATCAGCGCTTCACACGACCTCGCTGCGTGCAGCACAGTACTGCTTACAAGGGAGGTTTCCTTTGGCAGCGCATTGTTAATGATATTCGATTGAATTTTTTTGTTAAGCAATTGAACCGAAGAGACGTGTACTTTTATTCGTCTATAATGTGCAGCGTAAATTACTCGTTCGTTATGAAATTAATTAGAATAATATATATATATATATATTTGTCGTGTTACCAAGGCGAAAAAAGAATTCCAGAATACAGGTAAAAATTGAATTATTTATCGATTTACAATTTATCAGTTTTCTATTAGCAAACAATAGAATAGTTGCTTTTGTATTGTATGTATTTGGCACCGTTTGTTTGCGAAGTATGATATCAGTGAATTCAGACGTCTTTTCTCTCTTCAATTGCTTTCGAAGCAGGACGATTCTCATTGACACGAGCGTCCAAAGGATCAAAATCTTTCTTGTGAGAAATATTTTGAACGTGCCTCAGTAATTATACCATACTCGATTACAAATAAACGAATACAGACTCTCAAGCGCTGCTATTAGTGCATAGTACTGAAGTTACACGCGATGAATAGGAATATTTAAACGGAAACTGGATAAAATAGAATTTCTTTCCAACAAACGTACACAGCATGCGTTAACCAATCATCGTCGAAGGCATAAGAAGTCGTATCTCTTGCGTTTCGATATTATTTCTTAAAGTACGCAATTCACATTTTATGTGGCAAGGGTTACAGATATGAAATCGTTGACGATTGATCACCCGCGGAATCATTGAACCGGTCAAAGTAATAGCGCGAGACGAAAGAAAAGCGGTTGCATAGTTGGCTGATTGAGTGAAAATGCGTATTATATATATATATTCTGTATCGTCAAATGTATAGCGATGTTGTTACTTTTTTTATATGTGTCTAGTATTACCCCTTGTTTTGGGCATGATGTAAAATTGAGAGATATACAATTGGTACTTGTATCTATGTGAACCGCTAAAATAGTAAGATATGCATCCCATCGCGCAGGAGCATGCATATTGATACGTTCTCGTTTGTTACGCAGAATCTGACTTTTTGCAACATAGCGAGCCATCCTTCATGGAAACGACAACGACAGAAGTGGACCCTGAAACACAGGAAAGGTAACACGATAGACAGTAAGAGTCCTAGTAGCAATTACTGTTGGCATTTTGATGGACCTTTGATGCACTATTGGTTGGTCAACAGTTAGAATTATCACCCTTTTCTGCAACTGGGCGAAAAATCATACCCAACGTAGAGCCCACGTCACTATACTGCGAAGGGCTAACTGGAGGTTTCTTTCTGTAAGACCAATTGTTAAGTATCTACAATAAACCAACAATAGGAAGACCGTTGGCAATACTACACTTCCATAAAACCCTTTACAAATATTTGAAGGAGTATAACACTGGAATAATATTTATAATAATTATATACATGTATAAATTCTATATGTGTATTAAACAGGTAAACAGGTGTTTTTCCAACAAAGTTACCTTTACAATTTATTATGTACAATTTATACATGTAACTAATTATTACAAGTTATTTTCAATCTTCTGTCCCCTGACTCTATTTTCACAAAATGTCAAATGTCAAACGTGTTGCGCGACAGTAACAAATTGTGAGTATATTCATAAATAAGAAAACAAAGAAATCAATTTGAAATATAATAACAAGTTTTTGGTTGTAGCAACTTTTTTGACGTCTTTAAGACGATATTTAAATGATGGCAAACTTTGGGTGGGCCAATGTTGTATTGTCATTGTAAATTTCTTGTTAATTAACCAACTATAATAATTGTAGGCCCAACATTGGATATTCGTTGGCGAATTGTCATAACTTTTTCGTCGTAGGCCCTATTTTGGAAATTTGTAGGCAAAAACACTAACTATGTATATCTCAACTAACTCCCAACTGTTGGATACCGTTGGCCAACCATAAATGCTACTAGGGCGAGTAGAGCAATATGCTCGAGAAATGTTCCTAATCGAAGCAAATCGAACTCTACCGCGCGCGGAGCAGTTACGTTACGCAAACATGAAGTGTGTTCATTATCTAGATAAAGCGTTTCGTATAACGAATAAAAGATAAAAAAAAAGTACTTTTGTCATTTTTAACCGATGAAACGTGGGAATTCTAATTTTTATAACAAAATAAGCTTTCTTTTTTGAACGAATAGACACTTGTCAAACAATTATTTAATCTCATTAACTGTTCAAAAGTCTGCCTTTCACTATGTATTATTCGAATACAGCTATGCGCAACGCTGGTTTTAAGGGGTTAGACTAGTGTAACGCTCTGAAAAGAAACGTATTTTTGCGAATTATTTGTACAAAACTGAATCAATCGAAACATTTAAAACTTTGTGTATTTATTAAAGCATGGCTATACTATTAATTAGCATTTTTTGTATTAATTTAGACGTATAATTTTCCATGTGGCATGTCGTCAAACCCAAATATTGGCAAATATGTAAAAAAAAAGCCATCGCAATTGACATGCATAATGACGGTTGTTCTGATCATCCGAAATAAAAGAAAACAAATATTTCTTACTTTAAATACTAAAAATTCTAAAATTGCAAGAATAGTAGCAATTTAAGAATCAAGTAACAAAATTCAATTGTAATTAAGTACGAAGTACAAATCTTTTTTGTACTTCGCACTAAAAGAGAAATATAATTTGTTATGTTTTATAACCAGTATCGACTATAAAAAGACAAAGTAGCAAGTTAAGTATTTTTTTAGTGATCTTGCATGCCAGTTTTGGTAAACAATACGATTATTAATTTCATTTCTGATTTGAATTAACAAAAAAAAGCATTTTACGGACACGTTTTCATTAGCAAGTTACTGAAAAATAAGAAAAAGAATTTCTATTTTTTTCGCCGTTACACTGGTCTTACGCCCTTAATAGTCTCAGAATATTGAATTACAAAAGTAAGATAGAGTTTTTTAGATGTATATACAGTTGCGTTTAAAAATAGTACTTTAAAATCTATAATTTTATATTCGTTAAATAAATACAGGATGCGATATAGAATGATACTTACATAGTTGAATGAAGTAAAGACAGAAATTTTAATAAACATATAAAGATTACTAGTTTCAGAGAAACCCACCTTTTAGCTTATATAACAATTTCGTGAACGCAAACGAAATTACCAGAGAACATATACCTACATATGTGTTCTGAAGGTGGTCATCCTACGCGCAAAAATAAATCAAGAAGGTAGAATAAAATTGTCTTGTGCGACGTTTCGTTTCCAAAAGAAAACAAAGTGAAAGAAAGGCTATTGAATAATTTTCTGCTACTATAAAACGTTGTCCCATGTATGCACCATCCTGTGTAATTCACTTTAAATCCGATACAGCTATTAAATGTCGTTACTCTTATACCGAAGATTCAACTTTTACCTGAAGAAATTACATTTAACAACACAGTAATTAAATCGGACAGACTGTCCCGATGAAAGTGTTAGATAAATTTCTCGTGCCCAAGCTCTCACCCAATGAGCACACTCGGTAGATTCGGGGCGTTTTGGTTAAGAATAACCGACAATGGCGAGCATTTGGTTCTCGTGTTTTTGATAGAGTGTACAACAGGGAAACCAATTTTTTTTGCAGAATAACGAGAACTGTTACGCAAGTAGTCACAATGACCAGCGGTACCGGCAGTGGCCCAGACGAATTACGAGATTCCATGCAGAAGATGGTCGATCGATTCATGATGGAGGAGAGGCGGGATCAGTGAAGCGTCAGGTGTCTCAAAAGCGATCACAGGAACGAAGAAGAAGAAGAAGTATTGTTGAAAATTCTGTAGCGCTAATTCAACGAGACAAAGAGCCGGTTCCAGTTCGGCGCATCCTCGAGCGCCGGACCGGAGCGTCCGTTCTCTTGTACAAAGATCGGCAAAAGGAGGCCCTCTGTTCGCATCTATATCTGTAAACGTCAATGCGACCGTATCTTATTCTCGCAGTGCTTCTCCGTGGGGAGCACAGGAACAGAAAGCATTCATCACAATTTACTGTCATAGCTCATGGCCTACGCTTCGAATTTGCTTGCCTTTTGGTTACGTTCTGTTGCTTTAACGTGTTTACGTTCGAAACTTGCGATCGAATAGCGTACGTCATTGCTAGTCCGGCTAGCTTGATCCGCTAGTCCTCACTAAGCTAAACCCGTCCATGTACAACGCCTTTCTCGTGTTGTTCAAAGCGAATGAGAGTATGGATGAAGTGGAGGAGGAAGAAAAATAGGAAAAGCGAGTAACGAAAAAGATGGAGCTCGCAATAATAGCGTGGACGTTGCAGAACGGGCGACAGATAAATGCTCGTATTGAATTGCGGGCACGACCAACGTAATGCCGGTATAAATATATACATGTATTTGTAAACGTTCCGCCGAACAATGAAAAACGGTATCGCGAGAAACGTGATCGATAAATAAATCTTAACGGTGACTTCGCTACACTCGCCGTCGCGGCAGTTCGTTTTAGCTTTAGAATGATTGTGTATCTATCCGCGCAATACATTCGCTTCATAGGTCCTGCAACGCCACTTGAGTCGCATACGAGACCACACACACCGGACACGCTGGAAATAAATAAAGATTCTAAAAGAACTGGAATCCCTGTTGCTATTCGAGTCAACGAGAATTTCAAGATGACCGGCTAGGATACGGCGGACCTCGGACGAGGTTGATCCTTGCGCTGTTATGCACCCCTCGAATGGCAACAGGGAGTAAATGTTTTTATGAATCAGAAATACAATGTAAATTTAACTTATTTAAAAAAAACACAATATTTCCTAACAATTTTTAATTGTATATATAATAATTTCTTAGCGTAACTTATATAAATGTACTATTATACAATTGTAATAATTGCAATAATATAACACGAATATTTTATTTATAAAGCAGAATCAATGGGACGAATTGTTAGAGACGCATAAATCTTAAGATCAGAGAGAATGTTTATTCAGCGATCTGTCCTTCACGCGATCGTGTAAATTATTGTGACAATTATAAAAGATAAATGGAAAATTGAACAAGGAAATCGGAAACGGCGCGACGATTATAGGGACTGTATTGTTTAATTTTCGACGTCCCGAAAGAATACATTTTAATATTTAAGCAGCATTAGCTTTCAGTGTATAACACAGTTTTAAAAGGCACAGAAAGGAATCATATAGTATGTATTTAAAAAAAAGAACAAATATACTTTAAATAAGGTATTCTATTAATGTATAATATATTGACGAAAGATATGATTATGCATCTGAAGTTTATAAATTATTATCTATAATGACTGTTATTCTATGTTTAATAGACTTGCCTAGAGCCTATCTGACCTAAGGACCAAAGGCACAATCACACACGCATCAAAATAAAACATTATGCTCCCATGTATTGTCGTAACATTTCTTATAACTCATTACGGACGTTGCGATACTGGCATTTAAATATTCTGACTGCTATAATACACAGTTTTTATCACGGAAGGAGAAATACATTTTTCCCTCTCGCATAAGACGCAAGCCAACGTAATACGACAGGATACTGTAAGATCACTAGAATTTTTTTTTTATGCATCGTCATTTCATTTCTGTCCAGTGTATTAGTACATTTTTTATAAATCACTACCTACCGTCTTTATTACATCGCGAATATTAATATAGAGGTATGCAATCGAACTTTTGAAAGTCGATCACGTAACTTTACTGGCTATCTGACATCTAGAGTTCTATTTAATAAAAGTATTCATTTAGACTGATATTAGCAGGATAAGGAAAATATTATTTTCTTTAAGAAGGAAGAACGTATTTATACTATTTATTAAATGTTTAATTTAAATATTTCTATTTTTCAAAAGTGTAAGAGCAATTAAAATTAATTAAATCTATATTGATGATTCTAAAAGTGTATTACGTTCTAAAAAGTTTTAGTAGAAAATATGATTTGGTGGTTGTAAGACAAAAAATACATCATTCTTATTATTTCTATAGAATGTACATTTTTCAGAAAACCAGTTTCCTGGAAACCAGTAATGTTACACTGAATAAAATACGCGTTTTGTAATTCTCTAAGCTCAACAGCTACTGTATTTTCAGTCTGAAAGCATGTGAGCATAAATCTACTCTACGACACTAAAATTTTACTATGAATGAAAAGTTCTGAAACTATTCTTAGGATATTTATTCGCTTATCACTAATTTCTCACTAACAATATCTCAATGAAATTTTTTTCATTACCTTACCTGATAAAATGTATGGAACCATTATGAAATTCACCTTGTTTTCAATCAACGTTAATTATTAAATTATTTATAATGAATTTGAGACTTGTTTGAAGTATCTCTAATTATGTTCAACTTGGCCAATCATTTTCTCATGCCACTTATTACTGTTATAGAAAGTTATGTAAATATTTAATATCGCTTCGTTCACATGTGTTTAAATTAAGAAGTATTTAACATTCAGTATCGCATCAGTACGCTTCTAGTTCTGAATGTAATTTTATACAATGTGTTGGTCTATTTTGTGAATAACTCGTACACGCCAAGGCTACCAATTTCCTCTGTGCTTGAACCCTTCGTAAATATCACAATGATACGTTAAAATTATGCCATTGTATGGCATACGATATCAAAAATAACAGAGGAAGAACAAAATATGATTTTACTATGTACTATTATGTGATAGAGTTATCAACGACAATGTAATAAATAAACTGTTGCATTACAATCCACGATATACTTGAAACAAAAAACAAATTAGATGTGAAGGAATCTATACCTAATCCTTGATTTACGTTTCGCCGTTTTTTTTTAGTTTTTGAAATTTTTAATAAGTAAAAGAAAAGTATTTAAAAAATTATTTGATATCTTCCAACCTTCATATTGAGAGTTAAACTATGTTTCTTTGTAAACATGTCTTTTGTGTCGTAGACAATATTTGAGAAATAATTTATCAACTTTAATAAATAAATTATCCAACCAAGAAAAACTATATTATTGAAACATAACCGATTGTTTCAAGTAATTAGTTGAATCTACTAGATTGAATAAAGTAAGTTAACAATGCCATTTAATAGATTAAAATAATGGTATGCTGCAAACGTTTTCTTTTTCTTATGTGCAACATATTTTATTTGTCAAGCATTCTACACGAAAACAAACACATATAATTCCTATATGATTTCTAGATACTTTAATAAATAATAACTCAGTATTTTATAGATTTTTATTTATTATTAATAGTTGACATTAATTCTCTTTAGTACACATTCATGGAATCATTGGTTTATACAGAAATTAATAGTAATTTAAATACAATCGGGAACAAAAATTGTAATGTAATCTGATACAGGAAAATAAATTTAAATTTAAAGTATATTTACCTTCTAACATAAGTATTAATATTTATGAATATTTTTCATCGGAATTTTTTTATACCCACGGTGATAGTTATATATTGCTTTTATATCCATAACTATGTAATCATTTTAGTCTTAAAATTACACTCAGCTGTCTATAAAATACAATTATAAAAACAACTTTTGTGTAGTCACATTTGTGTTATATAACAGATGGTTTAATGAATCACTTTAATACATACAGAATTACTATGATGTATGATGCTCACTACTTCTCCTGTTTAAAAATGTAGCAATAATGATTTTATATAAAACAAAAAAATATACACAAGAAAATTGCTATCAGAATAATGTACTACATAGTAATATACATAAACATATAACTACCTATATTTGTTGGAAATTTGCAAACAAAATGGAGATTGAACAGTTATTCTGATGGGAAACATGATTACAAATCTTACTTTCAGACACATTCTGACGAAGTGTCAGTGCATTGCTATCTCTTAAAATGAGATATTATCTTCAATTTGAAGTCGCATAAAAGTAAAAAACAGGCTACATAGTGAATACCATAGGTCTAATGAGATTTACAAATTCTAAAAACTCAAAATCCAATAATGTTGGATTAGAACACAATATTGTACACACAACTGGAAATTTATTTATAGATACAGAAAATTGACTACTTTTTCCCTAAAAATTTCAATATCGTAATTATGTGCCAAATGATAGCATTTTATAAAACAAATAGGTTTTTCCAGGAATTTTTGTTTTGTACCTTTTAATTATTATTGTACTGAAAGTCATCAGATCTGAAAAATAAGAAACATATCATTTATAACCAGCATGATAGACATGAAGTATAGGAGTAGCACGTTAAACAAAATTCATTAAATATAAAACTATAAAAACCCACATTGTCAACATCGTCTTCATCATCATCACTAATTTCATCACCAAACTCGATATCTTCATCGAAACCATCTTCAACGAAGGTGACAGTATCATTGATACGTACTGCAACAATATTGTGAGTTTAATAGAATATGATCATTGAATTAATACTTTACATATCAAACTTATAATTAGGTTAAATCTTATGTTATTACTCACCAGTTTCTGGGAATTCACCATATGTTTTCAAATTACGAGCTTCATCTGCTGTATATTTCAATATAACATCTGCTTTTGCATTCTGATAATCTCGTAAACCAATTAATATAATGTCACCTTGATTAATCCATACTTTTTTTCTTAACTTTCCTCGAATGTGGCATAAACGTTTGACACCATCAAAACACATTGCTTCTAACCTTCCATTACCAAGCATCTTTGTAACTTGTGCATATTCTAAATTTAAAAAATGTAAGAATATATATGCTTATAAAGGCACTATATATTTACAATATCATCGATATTTCTGTAGAAAATCAATGATACTGATACTTGACATTATAAAATAAAATGAACATAATACATGATATTATTTAATATTAATACGAAATTTTACCTTGTCCATCTTCTTTGAACACCAACTCTCTTTTCTCTGTTTCGTTTTCATTCTTACCCCTTCTTCTGTTTTTACCTCCCTTTCCTGACGAAATAGAAATAAAATAGTAACTACTTGCATAACTTTGACAAGAAACCGTTTAACAACGAAAAATTTCCAATATTTTATTATGCTGTACTCGACTATTTCGGGAACAAGGTTGACATTAACAGGTTAGGACAAACTAACCACATTGCACATTGAAAATTACGTGACTCCCTACGGATATTTACATTTTTCAGAAAGGCAATAAGACAAAGAACGATACAATCGTTTACTCACCCTTATTCTTCGGCATATTGACTTGTTAAATTACTCTCGAACAGCAAATACACGAAAATTCAGACAATGAAAAACAGTGACAAATTCAGTGATCTAAAAACGAGTTTCGCATCACTCTATGCCTCATAGAAAAGACATAGGCTGACATGGGCATTGGGCAATCAAAGAATGTCAAGTAGACAGAGTATAAAGCTGTTTTTTTTCTAACAAGTTCTAAACAAAGAAATTCGTTGACATGAAAATTACTTTCATAATTTTTGCGATAATTTGATTATTATATACTATACAAAGTTTACCAAAATTTAGACATGCGATTGATTATATGTCGGTGGTAGTGATAAAGTACATCAACGGTCAAAATAGTTGTCCAATCCACTCTGACAACACAAGAGCATACAGACATATATAATAGACTGCGCGGTCTTATGGTAAGGATGAGTCGACACTAGAAAGAGAGAGCAATAACTGGAGTAACTTTCCTCTCTTTCTAATGGGGCTGCTGGTGGGGGATTCTCCTACAGCAGTAGTGGAGGCAGTGATGGGTAAATCTGCATAAAACCAAGTTATTTACACGTTTTATGTAAATTACAGGTAAATTACATAAATAACGTAATTTTAACATAACCGAAGCCATAAAAGAAATCTATTTTATTATGTTGTTGCGTGGCTGTTTTATAAAGATTTTGTAATTGAGAATTTAGCCAGGGTTCGGGTCCCCGTGGAGTGCTGATACGCTCTGCTCGAGATAGCTTCAATAAATACTCGATAAATGAAATAAAACTCAGGAACTTGTATTTGAACGTGTTAACAAAATTATGAAATGAACAATAAACTTGAATTAACAATAAATCAAAGTTATTTGTGCTTTTCCGTTATTTAGAAAAGTACGTCCGAACAGTTTGAGTACTCGATTAAGAAGCAGTCAAAATGGCAATAAAATCCTCGTTGAACAAAAAGACCGTGTACCTTCAGCTTTTAACAAAATACAATTATTTAACATCCAATTAGGAATTAATAAATAATTTTACTTTAATCCTATTGGGTCTCATCATCACGGGGAACGAGCGTTTTTAATACCTTGGCAATGTTTCCTCATGACAACCAAAAGTAAATATCAAATACGAGTAATTTCTAGTCATCAATGTTATCATTTTGACATTTAATCAATAATTAGTTATCTAATACACAATGTATAACCACAGCCGACTCTAGTACTAGCACCGACTAGGTTTAGGATAGACCTATATCTTATGAGACTTCGTGTTTCATGTTCTGAAATACCGATACTGTAAAAAGTCAGGGATTTTCTGTTGCCCTCTACGTTATGAGAACGGTGAATTTGTGAACTACGTTAAATCCACTCGAGCTCAACTAGTCGAACTTCTACAGTGTTGTCGAGTCTAAAGTACGAAATTTTGTCAGATCATGAGTGTTCGGTACGTTGGAAAATCATCGAAGGAACCATGGTCGTGAACGGATTCTCTTCCGTCCGTTCGCTATAAAGTAGACGTATTATGTAGAAAGGAGTTTGTAACGTCCTGCGACGTTTTATTATAAGTAAGTATTATACTTAAATTTACCGTATTTTTTCGATTTTGTTTCAACACGTAAAGTAAGGTTCACTTCAAGAATGCGTTAAATATATTTTCGAATCCATTTTATTGAAAGTCAAAAGTCGTCATACATGACATAGAATATTTTTTCCGATTACACATTATTAAAATCAAAGCTTATTTTTGCGAGCGTTTTCTGTATTGAAGATTGTATTATTATTTGAAAGACTGAAAATGGTCAATACATTACATTCAAAATCCTTTGACAAAATAATGTTATTAAAAGTTAAATTCTTATTATTGCTCACATTCAATCTTCAATAGCATATTTAGATTTTTATTATTAGTTAAAATCATTAATTACGTTTAAGGAGTTGCATTATATTATTAATTAAGGAGCGAGATCCTTATTTTTATATTATTTAAATTTTATATAATTCACATGCGTACTTTTCAACTCTTTCATATTATTTAAAAGGTTAAAATCCTTATTTTTCATACGTTCAATCTTTTATACTGGATAGGAAGGTAAATTCTTTATTTTTTCTTGCGCTCAACATTCATACCAAAATTCTTTATTTCTTGCGTTCAACGTCCTCCGTACGTAAGTATATTTTAAAAGGTTAAAACCCTCTTTTCTACGATTTAAAGTTTTATATTTAACAAGTTAAAATCTTTGTTATTTAATATTCAACGTTTACACCATATTATCGTTCTGGTGAAGCTATGATTTTTTACACCGCTATTTAGAATCAACACCGTATTATTATTCACGAGCTAGAATCTTATTTTACAAACGTTTAAAACCGCAATCACGTATTATTATTGTCAAGAGTTAAAATCTCGTTACCGACGTTGAAATCGTTATTTTGTAGTATTACCACCGACTAGGTATAGAATAGACCTATCATCCAATGCTTTTTTCTGTCCCACGT